TACAATTGAACTATAGCCACACAAGGCAGACCCCAAACAAAAACAAATAAAAAAAAGAAAAGACAAACTCTGCAAAGGCACAACTTCCCCAGGGGAACAGAACCGGCCGCTATGCATATTAAGACAGCTGCACATTACCTTTCACCGCTGCCAGCGGCAGTACTACCTCTTACCCAAGCTCAAACAGAGGCAGGAAAAACCCCAGCTGACCCCAAGGGCAGGCAATCGCCAAACAGCAAAAGAACCCTGTGGAGGTAGTTCCCGAACGACTTATGGAAGATAACTCTAAACTGCAAGTGCAGTACTTACAGAACTCTTAGGGAAGGCGACCCTAGGCACATGCAGCCCCAGTACTTCTGGAATTGATCCTGGCTTGCACTCTACCACACCACAAGGCACAACACTGCTCAAGGATTGGTGCCACTCAATCAACTGCCACCCAACACAACAGCCTCAGAACTGAGGTTGGGTAGCTGACTTGAGAGGTCAGGGGACCCCCCTCCCCTTCCCCCTCCCGTAACAGGTGGGAGTTGCGCAGACAGCGGCGTGGTGGCTGTGGTGACGTCATGCTTGTTTGCTTGTTTTCTGATTGGGGAGTTGTGGTTGCTTGCTTTTGGTTAGCAATTTTTCACCAGGTGTAGTTTGTTTTGGGATTCCTACCTTTCTGGGTGCCTGACCTGATAGAAAGCAGAGATAGACTGCTTCCAACTACACGGGGGTATCAATGGGCCATTGCTCATCGTGCCTCTCTGAGGAGGACAGGTTCTGCCTCGTGGTACCCAGTATGCTTAGAACTCCATCGATTGACTATTGCCATGGTCTAATACATAGACATCAGCCTGGTATAGCTCCGTGAGCCAGAGGGCTCTCCACAGAAATAAATATCTCTTTGATATCTCCAGAGTCGAACTAAATCTGTGCAAATACTCCATGGAAATAAAAGGACCCAGTCAATGGAATTTGCTTCCTAATGAATTAAAAAATTGTCCAACCTACGCGTGTAACGGGGAAGTGAGTAGAGATAGAAGGGTAGAAGTATAAAGTAGAAAAGTGGATAGTAGAAGGAGAAGGGCTGCCACCATCCATTTTGGTCAGTACATACAAGACAAGGAATGGAACTTGTCTGTATCAAAAGATGTTACTGTCATAATTGTAATCATATTCCAGGCAAGTTTCTTTAGTTTAATCACTCAAGAGTACTCTATACTCTAGTTTGCATATTGTATCCACAAATCCCAGATCTAGGAACAATTAATATCGGATTACAAGTAACGTGAATCAAGTATATATTTCTCAATAATTCATCAAGTATATTTATCAGGATATCATAATTTAAGCAATCAAACTGAAGGTTCACTATTAATATACAAAGTGAGTCATTACCCAAGAATTCGAGACCATTACCACTGTCTGCCCCTTGATAGTCACACAACACTAGTAAACACGACTAAGTCACCTTCACATTCACTCACCGAGGACTGAGCCTAAGTTGAATAAAGAGGGGGGGGGGGAAGGGTCTGCCATTGACAGGCAGCGTCACCCCCCCCATCCGGCCGACAGCCTATCTCGGCGGGTGTCTGCTGCCCTGCTCTGCTGTGCTGTCTCTGTTGTCCTATTGTTTATTCCTCTCGAATCTACAGTGCCCTCAGTATATATTAGGAAACCTGGTAGCTAACTCCGCCCACAAGTAGATAGCCCCAGGCGCTCTACCAAGCCACACCTAAAACTGGTGGCTTGTTTGAAGGCTATCAGGCTACATTTATCAGATTAGCAGAAGCAAGGTTTATTCGCAAGAGCTGACCTCAGGTCAAGTTGAGGTCATTAACGCTTAGAGGTGTGAGTTTCAGGCTGACAGAATGGCGCCTCTCAAATCCTTGTCTGTGACTCATGAACTAACTATATATATATTGTGACGGTGTTCCCCCCCCCATATATTTTTCCCACGACTGCTGTAAGAGTCATATCCACTTTACTCGAGCGTTCTCTATGTTGCGGGCATCAGTTTGATATATGTGGGAGAGTGTAATGTTCTCGCGTTGGCGAGAAACTCGTAAAAAAAAAGTATTTTGGCCCGTGGTATAGGCCCTTTAGGACGCCAATATGGCGCTGGCCACTCCGTTTTGCTGCCAAAACTGTGTGACGTCAGTGGCAACAGATTGGTCACTGACAGTGACGTGGCACAGGGAGCCAATGAAAACCGCCCCTGGCAAGTATGATGTCACGAAGGCAGGGGGGGGGTCCGGAGATCGCGCCACTTTGGCGCCACTAGTCTGACATGACATGTCAAGGTGGACGGATGTGTGAAGGTTGGTTCTGTCAGATTTGACAGTTGTACCCCGCTCCCGTGGATTTTACGCATCACCCGTTGTCTGCAAGTACGCTGTGAGGTCTTCCCTTGTTCATGTGTTGGACTGAAGAGGGAATCGACGGAATATTGAGCAACAAGTGCTCCAGGGACAGGTGCTGTGCAGGAAGTGAAGTCTAGACAGTGACGTCTGGGGCGTATGATAGCTTCACAGTGACGACGTAGCGGCTGGGCCAATCCACCGGGAAGCAGTGAAAGAAGAAAACTAATTGGGAATCAGGATGACTGCAGCCGAGAAGTAGGTTGGCAGCAGTAGTTGTGAGAAGTTGACGGCCGGAAGACCGACTCCAACCCTACAAGACGTTTTGGAGGAACACGGATCTGCGGAGGACAGAGCACGGTGATGACGCGTTTATTTTGGGACGTTAATTGGGTTCCTGGAGAATGCATCAGTGTGTGTGTGGGGGCGTTCCCTACAATGAGGCGAGAGCCGGGACCAGGAGCTACAATTCAACTCTCACCGGAGGGCGAGTCCACATCAGTGAGGTGGAAGTAGGTGATTCTAGTTTCCCTCCCAGTTCCCCTTTAGTCAGCTATATATATTTAGCCAGAGTATCTTTCATGTCATGAGCAAGGCTCACCTATGTCTATGTCACAGTAAGGCACAGTTGTGCAGAGTGAGGCTGTACAGAGCTCTCACGATATTTATATATGTGGTGTGTGCAGGCACCTGGAATTATTGAAGAATTTATTGTGTCGTTGATGATTTCTTTCATGTGACATTAATATGATAACTTATGCCAGAGAATATATATATAAGTGTACCAGTTATTGGTGTTAGGCTGTGTGCCCAGTATTTATCCTATTATTATTGATATTGATGAATTTATCTATATCTATGTATATGTTGGTGTGATGAATAACATTTCCATGTGTGCAGTGATTAATTGTGTTATCGCCTTCGAGAGGAATTACTGAATCTAAGAACAGTACTGTGGTTAATTGCATTCATTGTAATTATTGTGAAGTACAGTGTATCATGCTATTATAGTGAAATATTATGTTAATTGCTGTAGAAATGAGTTACTGAACTTGAGATCAGTGTGGTGATTCATTGCGTTCTATTGCCATTATAGAAATATTGTGTTGATTACAAACATAGTGATCCCAGCGAATTTAAAGAACCAGGCGCTTCACGCCAAGGAAAACAAGTACTAAGCATTCGCACGGTGAGGGGGGCCGCTCAGCTGATTATGACATTGACAGGAGGGGGGAGAGTGTTACCCTCTAGGTGAGCCCCAGTTTTATGAAGAGTGAGTGACTTTCTGCAGTGTACTTGATGTTTGGTTGTTGATACGGATATAATACCTCGAAGTTTTTAAGTAAAATACAAAATACCTTTGCGTTTATATTATCCCTCCATATATCTTGTTGCTATAGAATGGTTCCAAAGAGTGAGAGTATTAGAGACATATACCTGCCTGAGACCAGATTTAATGAGTGCGCTCTGCCATTAGTACCACAATTCCACTGGCGTGTTACTGGACACGGGAAACACCAGTTGGCGACCTTGCAGTTAGTAGTAGAACCCTTGTCGGGGCGGGCACACGGTTGGGAGAGAGCAAACTGTGTTCCTACTCATTCTTCGGCTATAAGGCTGGCTGGGGATCGACTGGGATACTCTCCTGGCGAACAGTGGCACTGCGAGGATTGAGTGAAGACCCGCAGGGCTACGGTGAGTAACAGTTATCGCTAATACTACTGGGTGGTGTCCATGTAGAGAGAGAGACACCCCGACGTTGGCGACCGTTGACAGGATAAAGTACTTAGGCTATCTTGTATACTGTTACTTGCCACTCGCGTACCCCGACAATATATATATATTATATATATATATATATATATATATATATATATATATATATATATATATATATATATATATATATATATATATATATATATTATTATATATATCTATATACAGTCTGGTACTCGCGTATATATACACACACGCTCTTCAGAAGCTGGTGGGTCGTCTGGTCGACTATATATATATATATATATATATATATATATATATATATATATATATATATATATATATATATATATATATATATATATATATATATACAAACAACTGCATTTGTATATATATGTATATATATATATATATATATATATATATATATATATATATATATATATATATATATATACATATATATTTATTTATTAAATAAAACTAAACAAAACACTTTTACGGTGTTACAGGCCTTATTCAGAAGTAAAACCAAAAAGTACCTAATTTCATCCTCTTACCTACCTTGTGCTTCACACTCACATTGTATCTGTGCTACACATTCCCCAAATATTAGTACTTAAGACATACACTACATCTTTAATAGTGTACTCACTTCTGTCTATTCATATTGTAGTTATATGTTGATAAAAAGATTTGCTACAATGTACCTTTTCATCTTACATGATATGCTAGATTAAGGACCTGCCTGAAATGCTATGAGTGTTAGTGACTTTGCGTGAATGTAAAAATACCATTCTTATGTTATCTCACCAACCCATTGGACCTTCTTGTAAATAAATTATTATTATTATTATAAATTATTATTATTATTATTATAAATTATTATTATTATTATTATTAGTATATTTTCACTTATTAAATCTTCAGGATTCCAATTGAGCACGGAGGTGGTGTCAATACTCGTGCTGCGCTACATGAGAAAGGATGGGACACTACGGTTTGGTGACTTTGTCAGTGCTATCCTCCATCTCTCTGTTGCCTTTAGTAAGTACCATCCTCTACTTCGTTACTGAAAAGATAAAAACAAACATTTAGATAAATTAAGGTATTAGTAGCTGATGTATAAAAAGTCGTAATTTAAAACTCCAAATATGTGCAATCACCATGAACTCTGTGATATGTTGAGAAAGCCTCATAGTATTGAAAAAAAAAGTTGAAATTCTTGTGAAAAATTATTGTTTGTGAAATTATAACTGTGAAAAATGATTGATACTTCACCTAAATCTGATACAGTACTTGGTATAAAGTAAGTAAATTATTTTACTTACTGTTTACTTTTGTTTCTAACTCAATTAGTAAACATGGCAGGAGGGTATGATGACTGTATGACGTGTGAGAGGGAAAGTTACTCTCAGGCATCAGTCACTTTAATGTGATCTGTGCCATGAGAAATACCACGGCATATGTCAAAACATCTCGGATAAAAGAATCGAAGCGTACAACAATGAGCCAACCGAAGGCAAAAGCTCTTTTTTTCATTTCCACTGCGTGCCATGGAGTAAGCCTAGCGATAATGACTCGGGCACTACCAACAATGATTCAGTTGAGAGTAATGAGCAGATCAGAGGAAAAAATCCCTGTGACATGATTAGAGAACTACAAGAGGGTCCGAAAGTTTTGATGAAACAGTTTATGTACTTGCAACAATCGATAAATAGCAAACGTGTAGGCATGATTCCAGAGGTAAACCAGGTGAACTCAGGAGGAAACCCTTCACTCAGGGAAAATACCCTGAATGCAGGCAGAGTTGAGATGAACCAGGGCAGAACGCATACTCTAAGGGAAAACACTAAATACAGGCAGAGTTGAAGATCTGGCGAGAGCAGCAGAACCCTTGGATAGAAAAAATGAGGAAACAACCTCATCATAAGGAACCTTGCAAAAGTAGAGGGAAAGAATGACTATGAAATCTTAAGAACCCATGGAGTTTCACCATGGGTGAAACGGAATGGTCCGTCCTGGACCATTCTCAAGTCGATTCTCAAGTCGGAGAATGGTCCAGGACGGACCGAAACGTCGTCGTCCCTTCAATTTCTAGTGTGTGGTCTGGTCCCCAAGGGCAGTACTTACAGGGTACCTAGGGAAGAGAACCATGGGCACATGCAGCCCGAGACAGAGACAGAGCACCGGTAGAGACAGCCCCACACCACAAGGCACAGAACTGAAACAAAACCCGAGCCAGAGGCACCTGACCGGCCAGTAAGCACATCAGCCAAGAACTGACGGTTGGATTGCTGGTGTGGAGGGTCTGGGGCTCCCCCTTCCACTTCCCTGGGGAGGGTCTGGGGCTCCCCCTTCCACTTCCCTGGGGAGGGTCTGGGGCTCCCCCTTCCACTTCCCTGGGGAGGGTCTGGGGCTCCCCCTTCCACTTCCCTGGGGAGGGTCTGGGGCTCCCCCTTCCACTTCCCTGGGGAGGGTCTGGGGCTCCCCCTTCCACTTCCCTGGGGAGGGTCTGGGGCTCCCCCTTCCACTTCCCTGGGGAGGGTCTGGGGCTCCCCCTTCCACTTCCCTGGGGAGGGTCTGGGGCTCCCCCTTCCACTTCCCTGTGGAGGGTCTGGGGCTCCCCCTTCCACTTCCCTGGGGAGGGTCTGGGGCTCCCCCTTCCACTTCCCTGGGGAGGGTCTGGGGCTCCCCCTTCCACTTCCCTGGGGAGGGTCTGGGGCTCCCCCTTCCACTTCCCTGGGGAGGGTCTGGGGCTCCCCCTTCCACTTCCCTGGGGAGGGTCTGGGGCTCCCCCTTCCACTTCCCTGGGGAGGGTCTGGGGCTCCCCCTTCCACTTCCCTGGGGAGGGTCTGGGGCTCCCCCTTCCACTTCCCTGGGGAGGGTCTGGGGCTCCCCCTTCCACTTCCCTGGGGAGGGTCTGGGGCTCCCCCTTCCACTTCCCTGGGGAGGGTCTGGGGCTCCCCCTTCCACTTCCCTGTGGAGGGTCTGGGGCTCCCCCTTCCACTTCCCTGGGGAGGGGGGGGGGGGTTGCGCAGACGGTGGTGAAGTGATGACGTCATGCTAGTTTACGGATTTAGTTTTAGGGAGTTCTGTCCACTCGTTCGGCTTTTGGTAACAATATTTTCACCACAATAAGGGTTTGCTTTGGGACGCCTACGTTTCTGGGTACCTGTCTCGGTCGATGGCAGACATAGAATGCTTCCAACCACGGGGGGGGAGAGAGGGGGGGGTGGTTTCTATAGGTCATTGCTCCTCGTGCGCCTCTGAGGGGACCATGTTCTGGCTCGTGGTCTCCGATAGGCAAGAACTCCATGCACTTTTATGCCTGAAAGTTATACATATCCATTCAGCCTGGATAGCTCCAGGGAGCCGACGGGGCTCCCCCAGAAATAAAGATAAATTGTACTTACTTTGGCCTCAATGGGGGTCAGGAAAATGGCGAGTGACGTCATCAATTGCTGGTTGCCCAGGGCGTACACTCCCGGGGCAGTCGTGCACCAGGTTCAAGATGCGCCAGTTGCCACAAATATATTTTTGTTCATTTTTTGTGCACAGTTCCAAATACGAGTTGCCAATCCTATGTATAATGAACACATACATTATATTATGGCAGTAGAACATCAGTACTGTCTGAAGACACTGAATCACAAATGTGTTCACATATCTTGCACATATTTCTAATGTATCATGCTCATTTATGTATATTTACAAAATATTTACACACTGTACAGTATCACACACTATATACATACACCATGAACACACTCAGAACTCCGCGAGTGTGTGATATGCTGCGAAACAGCCAACGGGGCAGAGTGGCACCTTGCACTCAACGAACCAGGTGCTGATGCATCTTCGCTTTTGTTCTCTATGAGTACTGTTCTTGCAGACAACACAGGCACGTTTACCCTTTTCCTGTGATGCTGTGCCATGCATACACTGGAGCATATGGACATCAAACATCTCGTTACCCCTCAGCCTGTCTGGAGCGACGTGTGGCATTGTTGCTGGCACCCTGCACAGTGCAATAGAGCCCTCCTTCCCATACTTTATGAGCAGTTGTGACACTACAGCAACACTGAATGTCCGTATTGGCGGTCTCCTGCCTGACTTTACCAGAAACATGTTGAAACAGTTGAGCACTGCAACATCAATGAGGTGGAAAAAAATAACTTTTTCGTCCACTTCACAGACCTACACACTCACTCGACGGCACCGAGCATCATGTCACATTTAACTACTAGGCGCATGTTCACGTTGTAGTCTATAACACAATCGGGTTTATATATGGGGAAGCGCGTTTGAAAGTGGACTTTGCCGCTGTCCAACATGGCACCGATGTGAATTGTCAGCATATTCACCTCGCGTCTGTCCCTCCACCACACTGTTAATATGTTGTCACACTAGCGCAACTGGCAATCACCCACTGCAATACCTATGCCAAACACTGGCATTTCTCTCCTGAGGGCCTTCACAGTGCCACATACGCCGGTGTTGTGGTCAAGGAAGTGTGTGGTTAACAAGGGGCTGGTATAGTAGTTGTCAGTGAACAATATTTGTCCCTTGTTCAGCAATGGTTCCATGAGGGTTTTGACAACACTGCTGAAGAACCCCGTGTTCATCTTGAGCTGGTATATTGATGTCTGTACCTGAATACAGTATCATGTCCATGATGATACAGTCTCACAGTCGCACAGCACGAAAAACCTTAGACCAAATCAGTGGCACTTTCATGGGATGTACTGCTTGAACGCCAGTCGCCCCTTAAACAGTACAAGCGATTCATCAACCACCACATTCTTTCCTGGTACAAAATAGTCACGGAACTTGCCTCTCATGTCACTGAAAACCTTCCGTACCTTCCAAAGTCTGTTGTGTCCGTCTTCATTTGCATTATTTTCGAAGTGCAGGCACCTGAGAAGCAACAGGAACCTATAACGTGACATGTACTTGTTGAACACTGGGGATGGAACAAGGCTGTCTGCTCCAATAATTCTGGATGATGTGTTTTTTAGAGTGTTTCATCATCATGCTCAGTGCGAGAAACACGTACATTTCATCAATTGTGGTGTCCTTCCAGCGTGTCAGGCGAGAGGCAGGTAAGTTGCCGGCGTCTATGAGGCTGTGAGCGTATCTGTTTGTCTCAGTTACAAGATGGGTCATGGATTCATTATCAAAATACGCCAGGAAATAGTCTTTTTCGGCCATATCTTCACCAGTATATGGGAATAATGGTGTCACACCAACATCGGTACCATCAAAAGTTAGTATTTGTGGAACAAATGTGGCACAATCCTCTCTCACAAGTACACCCGGGGGTTTGGTTCTGGCGCCAACACCACGGCCAATACTACCACGAGCACCAAACATACGGCTCCGACTTCTGGAGCTGCGTGTGAGTATGGTAGTAGATGAGGCTGATCTGCATATCGTAGGCCTACTGTAAAGGGGGCCAGCCTTTAACCTCACTTACTGATTAAATGCTGGTCATTATTAAGTAAATCTACAGACCAAATCCACAGAATTCTCTAGGTGGTGATCATGTCTCTCCCTAACTCTTCTAACTTCCAGGGACGTGACGTTTAATTTCCATAGCCATTCCTCGTACCTCTCACAAAGTGGTAGACGTTCCAGGTCTGGGGAATTTTTCCTTCCCAATTTGGTTGATTCCAATTACTATTTTATACACAGAGGTCATATTGCCTCTTCTATCTTCTATTTCTTCTATCTCCCAGTTTTGGCATGTTTAATGTCTCACAGCTCTCCTTATAGCTTTGTTGTTCAGTTCCAGAAGCCATATAGTTGCATGTCTGCACTTTTTTCAATTTGTTGATGTGCTGCTTTAAAACATGGGCACCATACAACTGCTGCATATTGGTAGATAGTTGGAACAAATTTAGTGAGGTGGCGGTGGAAGCCAAAACCGTAAGTAGTTTCAAAGCGTTAAATGACAAAGAGTACTGGGAAGACGGGACTCCGCGAGCATAGCTCTCATCCTGTAACTCAACCTAGGTAACTGGAGTTAGATAATTACACACAACTCCCTTCCATGCACACCATCTTCCCTCCCACAAACACCATCTTCCCTCCCACAAACACATACCATCTATACTGTTTGTGTATACAAACTACAGACAGCAAACTGTATAGAAAAAAAAACAGGAATGAGGTGTGGCATGTGTGTTTTTAAGAATATTTCATATTGAATTGTGTGCATTGAGAGAGATCTTGCATGTAGGATGGGAAGCACCTTCCTCAGCCAACTGTGATAAAATAATATCTAGTTCTCAAAATTCTTGAATTTTTAAGATCATTAATGCTATATTATTGTACGAAAATATTAATAATTGTGGTCTGTTTAGTAATTACAACTACAATATGGCCACTTTCTAAGGTAGTTATTGTATCATTTCAGATCTTTTTGAGAAGCGTGACCCACTTCAGAATGGTACTGTGAAGTTCTCTATGAGTGAGGTGGGTTATCATACATGACTGTGCAGAGTACTGGAATTGTGTGTACAAATAGTATATATTACTAATGTAACATATCTCTCCTATGATGAACTGGAGTACGAAATGTAAGTGAATGCAGTGTGTAGTGTAAGGCTCGACTTCGTGGCTAGGATGCTCCAGTCAATCAATGATAATGTAGTAGTAGGCATCCAACAGTCTCGGGAAGACTATATGGAGTTGTGCCCTGGTTGTCGGTCTGTAGTGGCCTCTCCAGGGCACAAAGCCAGGGTAGTCTGTTACGGAGGAGCTGTCACACATGCAGCAGGTCCCCCCCCTCTCCACGGCGCCGAAGGTCTCCAATGGAAAGACAAACGCCAATATGATTGATTCCAGCTGATAATGTAAGGCTGTGATCATTTGGCTAGTGAGTGTTACTAGCTATCGGTTGGATGTAACCAATGAGTTTGTTCATTGAGATATATACAAGAGTTGTTACATTCTTGTATAGCCACTAGTACGCGTAGCGTTTCGGGCAGGTCCCTGGAATTCGACCCCCACGAAGAATTGTTGTTACATCCAAGTACACATTTTACTGTTGAGTTAAACAGAGGCTACAGTTATGGATTTGCGCCCAGTAAAACCTCTCCGGCCAGGATACGAACCCATGACAAAGTGCTCGTGGAACGCCAGGCGAGTGTCTTACCACTACACCACGGATTGTTTATTACTGGGATGCAAATGTCCATGCAGTAGCTTCTTTTGGTGTACTCAACTATCCTGGTGGGTTTTCTTCAGTTCTGTGGTGATCTTATGGTCTCAGGTTCCTCTTCCTTGTATTGGAGGGGACTCCTGGTCCCTGGTAGGCACTCAGGAAGCCACCAAAAGACCTACACAAAAAATTGGAATTTTGTTAAAAAAAAAAAAAATCAAGACATGACAGGATTTACCTGAATTTATCTGAGGGTCACCATCTATCTAGCAGCCATGGTTAGAAGAGGAGGTCAGCAGCTTTTCAAAAGCACTGAAGACAAAAACTTCAGTCAATTTTTCCTGAAAACATTTCCAACTGTAATTTGAAATGCTGAAATGTCAGGGCATTTATGGCTTCATCAGGCAGGTAGGTGGTTCTTGGATTTATAACCCTATGAATAAAATAGCATCTTCTGTTTTCTGTCCTACATTGTGGCTTGTTGAGTCTGAGGCTGTTATTCCTTGTTTATGTTACATGTGACCTTTTAAAGAAATGTTTGGGATTAATATCCTTCAATTTGTTCAGTATCTTAAAAGTTTCTATGCGAGCTGCCCTGTTATGTTTGGTATGCAGTGTTAGTCCCGTGGTCCTCAATTGTTCCCGGTATGAGGTTGATTTAGTTCTGGCATGATGTTTGTTCCTGTGCATTGTACTTTATAAAACCAGCGTTGAATATAATGAAACGCCATTTTCTGGGTGAGCCCCGGAGGCTCCATGGAGCTTATCAGGCTAATGTATGTTATGTTAGACCGGGATATTAGCTATGGAGTTCAGACCTACCAGGGACCAGTGCCAGAACCTGGCCCCTTCAGAGAGGTTTCAGGGAGCAATAACCCTGGAAAACCCCATTATGGTTGGGGTTTTCCTTATCTGCCATCGACTGGGGTCAGGCACCCAGAAAGGTAGGCATAACAAAACAAACCCCACATGGTAAAAACTACAACAAAAACCGAACAGAGAGGTAGAAACTCCCTACAATCCCAAGGAAACAAACAATCAATCAATTTACTGCCACGCCGGTCGTCCGCGCAGCCCTCCCCTCCCCGGGAGAGGGAGGGGGGGCCCCGGACCTCACCACACCGGCTGCCTTCAGTTCGGAAACTAGGCTTCAACCAATGTGAAAAAAACCCGCCGACCGGATGGGAGGGAGGGTAGCCAGGGAGCCTCCAGGGCTCACCCAGAAAATGGCGTTTCATTACATTCAACGCTGGTTTTCTGTGGGGAGTCCCTACGGCTCCCTGGAGCTACATAGCCAAAGAGACGGAATTAGGGACTTACCCGGGAGGCGGTGGCCACAAACTCCTCAATGCGAAGTCGAGACAACTGGCTGCAACCCAAAGTAACACAAGAACGCCGAGGAGCAGAGACGTTCACCAAATAATGGGCGGCCAGGACCCTGTTCAACTTCCAAAATCCACGCGCCCGAATATGAGCCCAAGACATGTTACCAAACACGGCAGCCAAAGCTGCAAACTTCCAAACGTCATGGGCGCGAGGATAGACCGCAGGCTGGCTAGATTTAATAACCCTGCGGACAACCTGGGAGACCCGAGCCCTGGAACAGGAAACGAAGGAAACCGGATCAACCCAAAGCGCATCCCCAGCCACCCCAGCTGAAGCGCGCAGGTAACGGCGAAGTGCTGCAACCGGACACAACACACGATGCACCCCCGGCCGAACCAATCAAGCATCAATGACCCATGGGCCCCTCCGGAAACCAGCCGTCTCGCTCTTCACCAGAAAAGATGGAGAATGCTGCAAACTTACAAACCTACCCCCAGGACCAAAAGAGCAGAAACCCCTGCGCCGGAGGAGAGCATAAAGCGCCCCTTCCCGGCCCCCAGAGGCCAATGCCAACAAAAACAAAACCTTGGAAAAACTATCCAGAATTGAAGGGGCCACCACAAACCGAGGAGAGGAAAGACAGGAGAGCACCCTGTCCAAGGACCAGGACGGCTCAGGAGGCGCATGAGCAGGCCGGAGGTGAAACATAGCACGGTAAAGCTTACGAAATGGGGCGGATGTGACGTCCACCCCGAACGCTAGCTTGAGCGGCTCCGCCAGCGCCGCACAATATGAGGCGACAGTATTAGGCATCAAATGACGGTCCTGAAAAAGCCAAGAAAGAAAGGACAAGACAACCCGATCCGAAAGAAAAGACAACCTATGAAGAGCCAGAAAATGGTGAAAAGAACGCCAGGAAACTTCATACTGTCGCCGAGACGGAGCTCTCAGGTGGGACACCATCAACGAAGCCAGTTGATCACCATAGAAATGGTGCTACACCAGCGTCAAAAAGACCAGACGCGAAGAGCAGAGAAGTTCGAACCAGCCCTGTACTGGACCGGGCCGACCTGCTGAAAGAGGCGGAGCCACGGGAAACATCCCGGGTTCGGGCACCGAGCCAATAGCACCAGAAACCAAGGCTGGGCTGGCCACCAAGGGGCCACAAGGACTACTCTCCCTGGGAATGTCTCCAACCGAACCAGAGCCCGAAGCAACAGCTGGACCGGGGGGAAGAGGTACAGGTAACCCCTCCTTGACCAGTCCTGCTGAAAGGCATCCACCGCGAACGCCTCGCAGTCGGGAAAGGGCGTCACATAGATTGGGAGACGCCGAGACCACGCCGACGCGAAGAGGTCCACATCTGGGAGACCGTATGTCTGGCAGATCCAACAAAATGAGTCGTCGTCGACCATCCACTCCGTGGACAGGGGATGTAGGTGTGACCGACCGTCCGCCAGAATGTTGGATACTCCCCGGACATGAACCGCATGTAGAGCCAAACCCCGAGAATCCAGCAGTAGGACCACTCGAAGAGACCAACAACCAAAGAGCCAAGAACCTTAGAGAACCCCCGCGGTTCAGGCAATGAACCACTGTAGAACAGTCCGAATGGAGGCGAATGGTCGATCCCCGAGCGACACAAACCCTCCGAAGCGCGAACCAGACTGCCTTGTACTCCCGAACCGTGCTGTGAGTCCACCAGAAGGACGGACCCCACCGTCCCTGGCCTGCCTGGTGAGCACTGGTCACAAAACCCCAGCCAAGAGACAACGTGTCAGTGAACACATCGAGCGAGGGCTCGGGAAGGCGCCAAGGCACCGAACCTCGAAAACCCCGAAGAGGAAGACAGTGACGCAGCAACCGACACAAGGCCCCCGGAGGACGAACCCAATGACTGCGAGAGAGGCGGAAGGGACGTCCCCGAAGGAACCAAAACAGACGCCGAAGCCAAACCTGACCAGGCGGGTAGCCTAGCACAGCGAAGTTCAGACTCCCGCACAACCGCTCGAGCAACCGCCAAGTGACCTGGGACCCCCTCAGAAACAGCTGACGGTGGTCCCGCAACCGCAACAACGCCTCTGGAGGGAGAGACGAGGAAGTGGTCCGAGAATCCCAAACAAGACCCAGCCAGGTCCGAACCTGGGACTGAACCAGATGGGACTTCCTCCAGTTCACCAGGAACCCAAACCTGGTGAGCTGGGAAAGAACCATATCCCTGGTGAGCAAACAAGCTGACAGACTGGGAGCCCATACCAGCCAGTCGTCGAGGTAGGCCAAAACCCGAATCCCTAGAAGGTGCAGATGGGTCACCACAACCCGGGTCAGCCGCGTGAAAACACGAGGTGCCAGATTCAAGCCAAAAGGTAGGCATCAAAAACGGTAAGTGTGACGCCCCACCACGAACCCTAACCAGTCCCTGAACCCTGGATGAATAGGAACGTGCCAATAGGCGTCCTGGAGGTCCAGGGACACCATCCAGGCACCCGGCTCCAACAGAAGGCAGACCTGAGACAGAGTAGTCATCCGAAAGGAGGGGCAAGGAATCCAAGGGTTCAGACAGGACAAGTCCAGAATGAACCTCAGATCCGCACTGTCCCGTTTCGGCACTGGAAACAGACGGGAAACCCACCTGAGGGACGTAGTCGTTTTGACCACGCCCAAGCGCACCCACTCCAAGACGACTTGACAAAGCACAGGAGAGAAACCTGCCCTGTTAGACACGAACCCCCCAAAGGAGGACGAGTCGCCCAACGCCACCGCATGCCGGATGACACGACCGAAAAAGCCCACAAATCGTGGGACCAAGTGTGGGCAAACAGAGTGAGCCTCCCCCCCATTGCCCCATCAACGGGGCGAACCACAAAAGGGCCGACGCCCCTTACAAGAACCCAAACGTCGAACAGGGCGATCACCGCGCCGACCAGTTGACGCTGGCCCCGAAGGGAACAACGGCTCAGAAACTGGCACCAATGGCCCACCTCGA